TTAGTTGCCATATAACTTAGCTTTGGAAATCTCAAACATGCTTTATTTTATTTATCACAGAGGTGACCTAGACAATGCTGAATATGAAGAATCTAAAGCTGATACACTAGAACAACTAGAAGAGCTAAATGTAACTTTGAAGAAACATTTAGCGGGAGATATGACATTGGTTGACCATTTAAGCTCAATGCAGCTGGTAAGATTAATTCATCAAATTCTTTGTTAACTTAATCGTTTTGTGTTACGTATACAAGCGCTATCTAGATATTTCCAGACGTTTCAAACAATAACCTTTGACCTGTCACGTGATGTCTGGAAGCCCCAATATCTCCCTCCAGTTCTCTTGCACTCATGCAACTATCAAAATGTCCCCGGCACAATTAATTTTCAATTGCTGCTCTCAACTCTCAACCCTAAAGTATATTTTAAAGTATTATTAGGGACACATAATAAAAAGTGAACAATTGAACATTTGTAACTTTAGTGAAACAACTGTCGGTCCGCGTACGAGAAATACACGATAGCAGGCCTGCAAAAGAAAACTTGTAGTCTACCGGTTTTGCGTACTCAACGCTTCAGTTAAGAGGAAGGTCCAATATTAATCTCATTTTTATCTGTTAATAATTAGAGACAAGTTTATAATATTATTGTTCTTTTGCCATACAGTCCATTTGAACATTTTTGAAAGTAAGAATACACAAGTTTACCCCTCAGTTAAGTAAACTTCTAGATGCAAGGTATATAAACTATTTATAAAATAATTAAATCTAAGGCTTACCTTACGATCCAATTTAATATATAGTGGAGACCTAGGTTTCTACGTCGAAACGTTATCGTCAGTCCTTTGTCTCATAGGTTAGCTAAACATTTTGTTTGCCATCTCTTGCTTGAGATATTGTCGATTTGGTGTAATTTGTACATACATTGGTCACATTTAAATATTTACAAAGACATATATAGAAACAACACAGATACATGGCCATGATCTTCGTCTTCATCAAACCTAACCTCCGAAATTGGGATGTGATGACTTTCGCTTCTAGCAGCATGGTCTTATCACTCCATAGAGTTATGTATTTTGCAAACAGGTGTTTGATAATACTGTATTGTATTATTTATTTTTAATTTCAATTAAAAATCTAATAGAATCTCTAATAGAATCTAATTTCTCGCGAATCTAATAGAAACAGTCCTGGAACAAAACTACTTTGAATATAATAACGAATTCTTTTCCCAAAACACAGGTCTAGCCATGGGTTCCCCCCTATCAGCAGTAATGTCCGAAATTTTCCTAAACCACATTGAAAATTCCGAAATCCTGAATGATGAGAAGAACAGACATACCTCTAAAATACTAGAATACCACAGATATGCTGACGACATCATAGTCGCATTCCAAGGCAATAAAAGACAACTCGATGTCCTTCTGAAATACATGAACAACGTCCATCCAAAACTAAAGTTCACCCTAGAAATAGAATCTAAAAAATCCCTCAACTACCTAGACCTAACCATTACCAGAACAAAAAACAACTTCAGCTTTAATATTTATAGAAAACCAACGGCCACAGACCACGTAATACATGCCCATTCAAACCATCCAACCCAACACAAACTCGCAGCATTCCATAGTATGATTTATAGGCTTACAAATGTCCCACTTAATGAAGAGAACTATAATAAAGAGATGAACATCATTAAACAAATAGCGGTTAACAATGGTTATCACCCAACCCTTATCTCAAAGATTTTAATGAAACAAAAACGAAACCAAAGAAAACAAGAGCCCAAAGCTAACAAGGAATTTGTGACTACTACCTACCACGGAAAAATAAACAATTCATTCCATAAAATCTTAGAAGAACAGGGACTCAAAGTTGCCTACAGATCGACTAACAACCTCGGGAGCTTGCTAAATAAAAAGCAAATGACAACTGTAGACAACTACGAAGGTACAGGGGTCTACAAATTAACTTGTGGCTCTTGCCCCAAATTTTATATCGGGCAAACGGGCAGAAGTTTCCGCCAGCGTTTCAAAGAACATCTCCCCAGAAAGAATTCAGCCAGCTCATCAACCTATTCCGAACATCTTATTTCAGAAAACCATTCCTACACCTCAATAGATGCCAACTTAGAGATCTTACATAAAGCCCCCAAAAGCAACAAGTTAAATACAATAGAACATTTTCATATATATAACGCTACCAAAACAGACCCATCCCTCATACTAAATGACCAAAGAAACTTCGCCGCTAACATCATGTTTGATACATTAATTGAAATTAAAAATAAATAATACAATACAGTATTATCAAACACCTGTTTGCAAAATACATAACTCTATGGAGTGATAAGACCATGCTGCTAGAAGCGAAAGTCATCACATCCCAATTTCGGAGGTTAGGTTTGATGAAGACGAAGATCATGGCCATGTATCTGTGTTGTTTCTATATATGTCTTTGTAAATATTTAAATGTGACCAATGTATGTACAAATTACACCAAATCGACAATATCTCAAGCAAGAGATGGCAAACAAAATGTTTAGCTAACCTATGAGACAAAGGACTGACGATAACGTTTCGACGTAGAAACCTAGGTCTCCACTATATATTAAATTGGATCGTAAGGTAAGCCTTAGATTTAATTATGTTCAATAACGATCCAGAGGCTATATCTCCAAAAAAAAAAAAAATATTTATAAAACCTCTAGGTACAGGCATATAAAACAATGAATAAATACATCTAGCCTACTAATCTATATAAATAAAAAATGAACCCCTTTTCATCATGGTATTCCATAACTCGAGAAGGTGAGTGAGCGTAGCGAACAAACTTCAACTGTTAATACTGTTGCTAACCAGGACTTGATTGAGCGATGCGAACGAGCTCATCTTGAAAATGAACGAGCATTTTACATAAAGCCACATTAGGACAGGACGACGTCTGTCGGGCCAGCTAGTTAACAATAATAATCCACGTCCCATTTAAAAACTACGGTACTAAAATTAGCTGTAATTAAGTAGGCTAAATAATAACTTTACTGTTTGATCATTCATTTACACAATGATTATTATTTAAGTTAGTACAGTAGAACCCCAGTTAACCGAAATAAAGGGGAGGAGAGCCGTTTCGGATAACAAACTTTTCGGTTAACCTGTCTGTGGTGTTATTAATTTAACATTAATCATATCGTTTTGGTTTTCTTAGGATTCTCTGACTTCTTCGAGAAGGGTCGTGGTTGATCAGGAAGGAATGAGGGATTGTATTAGGCTGTTCAATATTTACTCTTTCTTCTAATGGCAAATGTGTTAGATGCCATTGATTTATTCTAAGCCGTCTTCGCACTTTTCTAATAATTTAGACAACACACTCGTTAATGTAATTGGTCTGAAACTCACACACTGGTTTTTCTGTCCACTCTCGTAGATTGGAATTACTTTCCCTAATTTGAAAAAATCTGGGAAAACCCCAGATGTCAAACTCATATTTATAATATGAAGAAGTGGCGATTTATTTATGTTTTGCTTGATTAATTTAGTTGGAATTCCATCTACACCTGGGGCAGAGCCACCTTTCATATTATTGACCAATTTTACTAGCCTAAATCTACCTCTAAAATAGGCGTCAGCAGTAGCCTAGCGTAAGGTAGCAGGGGGAATGGGGTTCGGGTGAGCTCACCACGCTGAGGGCCATACAAGAAATTCTTGAAGTTCAGTTCAGATACACTGCACACACTTCGAAAGGGAGAATTTATTACTGTTAATTACAGATACAAGACACAGAGGTTTTAATGTGGGGAACTTCCACCACGAGGTGGTCAAAAGACAGAGATTGCTAGAAAAACGGCGCGGCACGGCACATACGTCCGATTGAGGAAGGTTTTAGACGCTAACTGACTAAAATCGAGGTGGGGAAATTTGAGTTATCCATGAGAGGGAAAGAGACAGAGATATATCACGCCATATGACATAGGCATCGTATGATTTTTAGGAGAATATGAGGGAGGGGAATTGCCGTCGTGTGTGTGTGTGTATGAGAAGAGTGGAATACATTTTACAGACTTAAAATAAATAATTAACATACAAATAATTGTTAAAAACCTATGCACACCGTTAATTAAATGTTAATAAAATAAATGATTAATGATTAAATGACTACTTACCATATTTACAAAACCATACTCATCAGACACTGTATTTTATATTTTGATCTGGATTGCAATGACAGTCTCATCCAGTACGGTCTCGGTCTCAGTTATTTAGATAAGATTACACATGCCACAGTGGCCAGTATAACGTCTTCTTCTGTAGTCATCTCAAATAAACGGTAAATTGTTTAGAACAAAATCAAAGAAAAGTTACTAACTTACCTGATGAAAACTTTTGTTATAAAGGAATTAGAAACAAGAAACAAGTGTTAGAAACAAAAAGTTCCAAACTGTGGTGGAAACACAGCTTAAATAAACAAATTTATTCAAAGTTATTCAAGCCAAGTAGTTTACCAGATTAAGTAATGTCTGTGTAGAACAGTATTATGACTGTAACTCATTTTTTATTTTTTTATTTTTGCATTGTTACATTGCCTACAAGGAGGTAAAAAAAATCTTTTGCAAAGTTAACGACTTATAAATGAATAAGTTGGTACTTATGTAGTTTAAAACAGTAACTTAGGATCATGGATTTTTATTTCCAAGAATAACTATTTACTGTTAACTGTATAAAGAAATTCTTGGGTTTAATTTTATAACTGTATGTTTGAATAGGCTGTATATTTGTAGGCTATATGTTTGTATGTGAGTATGTATGTACAGTATAGCTTAGGTATAGGGTAAGCGTCTAGGCAATAGCTTAAACAATTCTTTGAAGTAGTAAAAGAAGAAAATAGTAATAAAAGTAAATCTGTTTGAAATTTATTTTAGCTTTTAAGTGAGTTTGAACTTTTATGTTCTCTTACCTTTGATACAAGTGCAGTGTTGTTTGTGATTATGTAGTGGAAGTGAACTTTGCCAACCAGACAGACTGTCAAATGACCAAATTGTCTTTTGGGTGTAAAAATACAATTTGTAAGTTTGTAAAATATGTTGTAAAATAAAACACTGTTATCCATCTATCTATTGCCTGTGCATAGATAGATTTTAGTTGCCATATAACTTAGCTTTGGAAATCTCAAACATGCTTTATTTTATTTATCACAGAGGTGACCTAGACAATGCTGAATATGAAGAATCTAAAGCTGATACACTAGAACAACTAGAAGAGCTAAATGTAACTTTGAAGAAACATTTAGCGGGAGATATGACATTGGTTGACCATTTAAGCTCAATGCAGCTGGTAAGATTAATTCATCAAATTCTTTGTTAACTTAATCGTTTTGTGTTACGTATACAAGCGCTATCTAGATATTTCCAGACGTTTCAAACAATAACCTTTGACCTGTCACGTGATGTCTGGAAGCCCCAATATCTCCCTCCAGTTCTCTTGCACTCATGCAACTATCAAAATGTCCCCGGCACAATTAATTTTCAATTGCTGCTCTCAACTCTCAACCCTAAAGTATATTTTAAAGTATTATTAGGGACACATAATAAAAAGTGAACAATTGAACATTTGTAACTTTAGTGAAACAACTGTCGGTCCGCGTACGAGAAATACACGATAGCAGGCCTGCAAAAGAAAACTTGTAGTCTACCGGTTTTGCGTACTCAACGCTTCAGTTAAGAGGAAGGTCCAATATTAATCTCATTTTTATCTGTTAATAATTAGAGACAAGTTTATAATATTATTGTTCTTTTGCCATACAGTCCATTTGAACATTTTTGAAAGTAAGAATACACAAGTTTACCCCTCAGTTAAGTAAACTTCTAGATGCAAGGTATATAAACTATTTATAAAATAATTAAATCTAAGGCTTACCTTACGATCCAATTTAATATATAGTGGAGACCTAGGTTTCTACGTCGAAACGTTATCGTCAGTCCTTTGTCTCATAGGTTAGCTAAACATTTTGTTTGCCATCTCTTGCTTGAGATATTGTCGATTTGGTGTAATTTGTACATACATTGGTCACATTTAAATATTTACAAAGACATATATAGAAACAACACAGATACATGGCCATGATCTTCGTCTTCATCAAACCTAACCTCCGAAATTGGGATGTGATGACTTTCGCTTCTAGCAGCATGGTCTTATCACTCCATAGAGTTATGTATTTTGCAAACAGGTGTTTGATAATACTGTATTGTATTATTTATTTTTAATTTCAATTAAAAATCTAATAGAATCTCTAATAGAATCTAATTTCTCGCGAATCTAATAGAAACAGTCCTGGAACAAAACTACTTTGAATATAATAACGAATTCTTTTCCCAAAACACAGGTCTAGCCATGGGTTCCCCCCTATCAGCAGTAATGTCCGAAATTTTCCTAAACCACATTGAAAATTCCGAAATCCTGAATGATGAGAAGAACAGACATACCTCTAAAATACTAGAATACCACAGATATGCTGACGACATCATAGTCGCATTCCAAGGCAATAAAAGACAACTCGATGTCCTTCTGAAATACATGAACAACGTCCATCCAAAACTAAAGTTCACCCTAGAAATAGAATCTAAAAAATCCCTCAACTACCTAGACCTAACCATTACCAGAACAAAAAACAACTTCAGCTTTAATATTTATAGAAAACCAACGGCCACAGACCACGTAATACATGCCCATTCAAACCATCCAACCCAACACAAACTCGCAGCATTCCATAGTATGATTTATAGGCTTACAAATGTCCCACTTAATGAAGAGAACTATAATAAAGAGATGAACATCATTAAACAAATAGCGGTTAACAATGGTTATCACCCAACCCTTATCTCAAAGATTTTAATGAAACAAAAACGAAACCAAAGAAAACAAGAGCCCAAAGCTAACAAGGAATTTGTGACTACTACCTACCACGGAAAAATAAACAATTCATTCCATAAAATCTTAGAAGAACAGGGACTCAAAGTTGCCTACAGATCGACTAACAACCTCGGGAGCTTGCTAAATAAAAAGCAAATGACAACTGTAGACAACTACGAAGGTACAGGGGTCTACAAATTAACTTGTGGCTCTTGCCCCAAATTTTATATCGGGCAAACGGGCAGAAGTTTCCGCCAGCGTTTCAAAGAACATCTCCCCAGAAAGAATTCAGCCAGCTCATCAACCTATTCCGAACATCTTATTTCAGAAAACCATTCCTACACCTCAATAGATGCCAACTTAGAGATCTTACATAAAGCCCCCAAAAGCAACAAGTTAAATACAATAGAACATTTTCATATATATAACGCTACCAAAACAGACCCATCCCTCATACTAAATGACCAAAGAAACTTCGCCGCTAACATCATGTTTGATACATTAATTGAAATTAAAAATAAATAATACAATACAGTATTATCAAACACCTGTTTGCAAAATACATAACTCTATGGAGTGATAAGACCATGCTGCTAGAAGCGAAAGTCATCACATCCCAATTTCGGAGGTTAGGTTTGATGAAGACGAAGATCATGGCCATGTATCTGTGTTGTTTCTATATATGTCTTTGTAAATATTTAAATGTGACCAATGTATGTACAAATTACACCAAATCGACAATATCTCAAGCAAGAGATGGCAAACAAAATGTTTAGCTAACCTATGAGACAAAGGACTGACGATAACGTTTCGACGTAGAAACCTAGGTCTCCACTATATATTAAATTGGATCGTAAGGTAAGCCTTAGATTTAATTATGTTCAATAACGATCCAGAGGCTATATCTCCAAAAAAAAAAAAAATATTTATAAAACCTCTAGGTACAGGCATATAAAACAATGAATAAATACATCTAGCCTACTAATCTATATAAATAAAAAATGAACCCCTTTTCATCATGGTATTCCATAACTCGAGAAGGTGAGTGAGCGTAGCGAACAAACTTCAACTGTTAATACTGTTGCTAACCAGGACTTGATTGAGCGATGCGAACGAGCTCATCTTGAAAATGAACGAGCATTTTACATAAAGCCACATTAGGACAGGACGACGTCTGTCGGGCCAGCTAGTTAACAATAATAATCCACGTCCCATTTAAAAACTACGGTACTAAAATTAGCTGTAATTAAGTAGGCTAAATAATAACTTTACTGTTTGATCATTCATTTACACAATGATTATTATTTAAGTTAGTACAGTAGAACCCCAGTTAACCGAAATAAAGGGGAGGAGAGCCGTTTCGGATAACAAACTTTTCGGTTAACCTGTCTGTGGTGTTATTAATTTAACATTAATCATATCGTTTTGGTTTTCTTAGGATTCTCTGACTTCTTCGAGAAGGGTCGTGGTTGATCAGGAAGGAATGAGGGATTGTATTAGGCTGTTCAATATTTACTCTTTCTTCTAATGGCAAATGTGTTAGATGCCATTGATTTATTCTAAGCCGTCTTCCATTATTTAGTGTTACTGTGTTACCCAATATGATCAGGGATAAATGTCTGATTTTGATAAGATCTCTCTGTTACATTTCAGGTCTCTTATCCAGACCTTAACCCCTTCTTCCAGAGGTTTTAGTTCACTAAACCTTCCACAAAGATTCATGGCGGCTGAGGGATTAGGACGGTCGGGTGGTGTCCCAGCCCCTAAATTAGCCCTCACTTGGCTGCTCTGGGTTTTGACCATGAGTCACCCACTGGGCTCAATGCATAGTTGGTAAAATTTTTGTATATCACCATAATGTGTATTAAATAACGCCATTTTTGTAACCTGCGTCAAATAACAAGCACATTGAGCCCAAACACGAAATAACTGCGATCGTATTAAGCATACCACGACATGAAAACTTTCTATTATTTTAAAACCAAATGTATACTTAATATCGTCTTATTTATTTCGTGTTTGGGCTCAATGTTCTTGTTATTTGACGCAGGTTACAAAAAATGCAATATTTAATACATTTTATGGTGATATACAAAGATTCTACCACCTATGCATTGAGCCTAGTGGGTGACTCATGGCACAGAAAATAAACTACTATTACCCAGAATACCACGCTTACGGAGGTAGCATTAAGTGAAATTTAATTTGGAGCGCTGCCTATTGGTAGCGCTAGTGTCTTCAACTCAGCGCGCACGGGAGAAGTTTATCCAGTTTGAGTCAACTGTAACTAGACGGGCGCATCATATTTCCCGCTCTCTCCCCGTCCCGCCATTCCACAGTCGCGGCATATGTGACCTTGAACGAGGCAGCCGCAGCCGCTGTCACTCACTGGCGTTTCAATGAATGCCCACTATTATAGTACTACTGTATTACTTCAACGTTTTGCGTTACCTCGTTATCTGTTGTCTTTATTCCACTTCCAGATAAAATGTTATTCCAGTAGTGTTGTTAAGTTAACATATGACGTATTTGTTTTTATAATCTTTAACACCCTCAGTCGCAATAATTCATAGTTTGCTATTTTGCAATAAATTATTATATATTAATAGCCTTTATTTAATTGCACTATCGTGATGGTTCTAAAGATTATTCTAATAAAACGATTGAATTAACTCACTTCTCTTCATTATGTTCTGTAAAACTTTTGCAACTACAGTAATTTACAATTAACTCCCAGATGAGCAAGATTAGAAATTTTAAACATAAAAAATAACTGGATGACAACGCAATATAAAATATATTTCAGTAATTTATTTAAGTTTTGTAGCAAACATGTAGGTCTTTGATGGTTTGTATAAATATTTATAGTGCCATTGACAAAATATGTGTACAACTTATTTATTTGGTTACCAAAGGTAAACACAATTTTTAATAATCTTCCACCTTCTACCTTGTTATCCAACACAACTAACGATTTAGATTAATAAACAAAAATAATGTAAATGAAATTTGCCAAATAAACATAATTTATTCGAATGAGAACACTTACATTTATATCACAAAACAGTACAAAAAAGCATGTAGGCTAGGCTAAATACCAACAATAAAATAGTAAAGTACAATAACCAAATAGCTATTACAAACAAAGAACACGATGCAATTGCAATATATAAGAGCAAATAGCGTTAAATGCGCTCGGAAAAACAAGTGCCCAGTATCGACAATGAAACAATAGTATATTACAGGTAAAAAATTACATATGACAAATAAAGATATTTATAAACAGAATTATGTACACGTAGAAAGGTAGCCTACAAAAGCCAAATAGCTAATAGAAAAGAAATACAGATGCAATTGCGACATATATGTAATAGCAAATAAGGTTAAATATACCCGAAAAAAACAAGTGCCCAGTATCGATAATG